GTGTGGTTTTTTTTTTTTTTTTTTTTTTTTTTTTTTTGGAGGGAGTAGTTTATTTGCCAAACAATGAAGTGTGAACCCCCAGGAATGTATGGATTCTGCATTCCATACAGAAACACCATTGCTTGAGACCAGATCAAGAACTGTTGCAATAAAAACTGAACAATGGTGTACTATTTGAGGGACAAAAAAGATTCGGATGGAAGAGAGTTTTTAAAAATGTAGAGCAATGAAAGAATGAAATGTCTTTGAGTAATGTTTAATATAGTCCTGACAACCCATCAGAAACTTTTCCAACTTTTTTTAACTTTATAAGATTGCCTTAAACTTAGCCACTGCACACAAAAGACTAGCTAACACCCATCAATCACAGTGACAGATTATCTCCCCCCCTTACCACAATGATAAACCCATAACAAAAAACACCCTGATCACCATAATCACCCAATCTCCTGAAAAGGACAAAAGCTGATCCCACAGCTACAAATACTCAACTATCTCACACACTACACCAGAACACAGACAAGGTTCTAACTCCTGTCCTCTGAAGATGCCGGCCATTGAGACTGGTGAAAAGTTAAGAAGTAAAACCTTCAGAACATGGCCAAAGAACCCGAAAAACCCACAACAACCATCAGATCCCGACCGTGAAAGCCTTTGAGAATACATTAAACCTGTGTTTATCTTCAAATGACCAGCTTCAAAACAGAACACATTAAATGCATGAGACACAGTTGAGAATAACCATGTGCTGTGGCAACAGGTGTTTTTCACCACTTCAGAGAGAATGCTTGCTAAAAAGATTTTTTAACCATATTGTATAATTTGACTTTAGGCAATTACGGTGAGATTATGGAGATGATTAATACGGAAAGTAATTCTGTTTGAAAAACTGGTTCATCAATTCTGAATGAGGGGAAAGTGATGCTAGCTACAGTAGAGAATTGCTTGCTTAAATAGTATTTAGATTCCCAAATAAAAGCAACAGAATGTTATTAGGCAGCAAAAAAAACTTCAGTGGTATGCAGAGTATATTATGGGAACATAGCAAATACAGAGATACCTTATCAGGCAAAATCCAAAGAAACAAAACAAAGCAAAGCAAAACAAAATACATTTTTTAAAAAAGACAAAAATATGTGGTACCTTAAAGACTAACCATTATACAGTGATGACTCGCAAGACTAATGCCTCATGCAATGAAAAACTCACAAGACAAAAGCGTCTTGCGGTGGTTTTTTTGTTGTTTTTTGGTGACTCACAAGATGAATTTTTCTCTTTGCAAGACAATTTTTTCCCTTTTTGGTTTGTTTTAAATCGCACAACCATTAGTACCGCGCTTAGCAAGATGAAATTTTCACAATACTACACAACTCACGGAATGAATTAATTTTGTCTTGCGAGGCATCACTGTATTTTACATTTCCATAGATAGAGATTGTCCATATAAATGGATTGGATATAAACCCAGGTTTCTTAAGTAATTACAGAATGTAACACTTCTTCTGTTAACTACTGTCACTGTTATTTTCTTTCATATATCCCCCCCGCCCAGCTTGAATACCTAGCTTTCAACCCCCCCACACACACCTTCTCTCTCTCCTCTCTCTCATCCCTCCTCCTTGCTCAGGTCTGGTATCTGTTTTCTGTCTACCTGGAGGAATGTTTACAACAGAGCCATAAATTAAGGTTTTTGTCTTTTTTAAAATATTTGTTGTTTTGTTTCTTTGGATTTTGCCAGATCTGCTTGCACAGACTACCTCTTCCAAAATTGGAGATATCTTAGTAAAGTTTTGTCCGAATGTGAGAAAACAGAGGCCAGAATTCTATTGGTCTCATGCTGCATAAGTAGGCAATTGCACAAGCAAGGCTGTCTGTGCTGCTGGCCAGCCATTGTGCTTCTCAGTTTCTCCAGGTCAGGGAGGCTCCTAGCATGATGGACAGAAAGAGCTAAAGGAAAAAATGCTGTGTGATTGCCCTTATCCTCCATCATCTGGTTAATCTTTCAATATCCTGTGGGAGGAACTACAGTATATCCATTGCATGCATAAGGTCCCAAGTGTATATTGTTTTCACACAGAAGGTCCCAAAAGCTTGGGTTTCTAAAGTCTTTTTTTTAATTATGTAATATAATAGACCTTTTTCAAAAAAAAAAATTCTGCCTGGTTTTTGTGCCTTCAACCCAATGGTGTGTTTGAATAAGGGAGGGAGGGAGGAATTGTCACTCTTCTATTGGCAATATTAAAATTATATTTTTCT